GGAGATGTGCGTGTCGAATGGAATTACTGGTACGCTCTCTCTTTCTCTCTCGATCTCGTGTCAATTTGCGCTCTCAGGATCCTTCTCCGCGTCACACATTCTCTCTCTCTCTCTCTTGTCTCTCACATAAATACACACACACACACACACACTCTCACACATACTAAAAGTACACACACACACTAAAAGCACACACACACTCTCTCACACACACACACACACACACTCACATATACACACACACACACACACACACACACACACTCACACTCACAAACACACACGTACACATACAAAACCACACACTCACAAAAGTACGTACATACATAAGCATAATGCACTCACATAAACATGCAAAAACACATGCACAAACATACATTCACACACTTGAACACATACTCTTGTTAGTTGCGACGGGTCTGTAATTTGTTGACCTTTGAACTCCCTTCTTTTGTACCTCTCTGCAGACACCATTGATGCCTCTCATTCCCACGCTGGCAATTATCTTCAGCTCTGTGATGCTTTTGTCGGCCGGAGAGCTTATGGGTCTCATTGAAGTTTCTGTTCTTCTTGCCATAGGTAAGGTAGTCGTCCCACCGTAATAGCTTTACTTACATTACCTGATTCAACTTTGAGAGGTTGGTTGTCATTTTTTTTGGTTATGTCAGCTTTTTTTTTTTCCATTGGTGTTAAAATTTTTTTAAAAATTTGATTGTTTTTCACCTCTCTTTGACATAACTTATAGATAACTAGCTGGGCCCCCTTTTGATGAAAGGAATGATAGGTGCCTTAATATCAACTGAAAGTCATTGGCCTACGATATTTACACTCTACTGGAATGGAGCAATAAATCTTGAGAGAAAAGTGACACAAGTATTTTCAAGTTGCCAAATATATAATAGATGTATAGATTGATTCTCTATTCCGCTTTTGTGGTTTGGAACTCCAGAACCACCAGTACGCTAGTGAACGGAAACCTCACTTGTTTACAATTGCGTCTTACAAGACGGACTTTCCCAAGATTAGATCTAAATAAAACTAATGAAGAATTGAAAATTAAACTATAGTGACTTGAGACTCCTCAATAAAACTGTGCACCTTTTAAATGATTCTGAATTACCTTTAATTAATTTTGTCAAATTCGAAAGTTAAGTGTTTGGAAGTTTTAGGCGGCGTAAGAGACGAACTTTCACATATATAATATGTATAGCTATAGATGAACGAGATGGGCTTTGACCCTGCCTGTCAGGACTCACCCAGGCTGAGAGAGAAACAATGTCTCATGCTCAGAAGAAATGCCTGTTATTCTCCCCACTTGCAGAGTGAGACGATCTGTTGTGTTTTCCTAGCAAAATGTTCATTTGCAATCTTGTAGTATCCAGGTGACAATGGAAGAGTTTTAGGTACTCTTTGCTTGATCTTTTGTGAAATTGTGAAAAAAACCCTTTCATTTACAACAAGAAGCTATATCATCTGTGCTTTGCACATAAAAGACATGATTGGTACCTTCAATTACTGCATGCGTAGGAAAGTATTCAATAAAGCATCTCCATTTTTCTGCTGGGGTGGAAGCAATCTGCCTTCAAAAGGATCAATATTATGTCTACTCAGTGATAAAAATCTTGTACCATGTTTGCCTCAGGAAAAAGGAATATATGTGCAAGCTGTACTACTTTTTGTTAGAACTTTATTCAGTTTTCATGGAAGTTCTTTCACGATTGTACAATTTGTTTACCTGATGTGGTGTGAGTCAATGTCCTTAAACACTGAATAAAATACCTACTTACTGTACCTATATTAAGTCTGGAACCTTTTGAAACATGTTTCAATTAGTCTGTCATATTATTTTTTTCCTGTATGACAAAAGGTAACCATCAGTATTCTTGTATGTGTTCTCAGGCTCGGTGATGTATGTCATCATGATCCTGATGAGCGGCGACCCCCAGCTGATGCAGGGAGGGGACAGCAGCGAACGGAGAGCCTTGTTCAACGACAGCGAGGAGGCTGACGATGAAATTGACGAGTCGGATGATGACAACTTGTGACTTCTGATTTGTGAAGTTTGTGGATCCTTACGTTTCGATGTAGAAAAATTGATGTATTATTTGATGGGACGAAATGGATTGATGAGATGGTGATTTATGATTGTGATGCTCCATGGTTGAACTTTAGGGTTAACTGTGGATTTATGGTACTGCAGAATGGTCCAATTTATAATTATCTAATGTACTATACAACTGAATGCTCCATAGACTTACTATACAGCTGAATGATCCAAATATTTGACATACTATACAGCTGAATGCTCCAATTGAATTATTTGACTTACTCTTCAGAAGAATGCTCCAATTATCTAAACAGGTTGAAGGCTGAGAAATGGAATGTCAAATGTAAAAAATGTAAATATTTAGAAGACAGGAAAAGATTTATTGACGAACTGTCTCTGTTATTTTTTGTGCTTCAGTCTTTTGGTTTATACACCATTATTTTCCACACCCAGTTTACCTTGTGTTCTATAACCACATTCCCCTTTTAACCTTTACAGGACTGGATTATTTTCAGCCTACATTGACCCCTGGCCTTGGTAGTACTAGAGTCCTTGACTCCTCAGACTCGGCCTATACTGACTGGGTCTGTAATTTTTTACAGACATTAAAAAAAATTCTATACTGCTTTTGTTAGAACTTTTGCTTTGTTTGAAGTTTTGGAAGATATGTGGAATATTTTTTAGAGACAATTGGATAGATTACAGTAAAAATACCTGACTGGGTTTGAGGTGGCTAGCACCCTGTGTGGCAAATATACATGACTTGGCCTGTGGGAACAAGAACTTGTGAGGGATATATGTGAAGCCTTCGGACAAAATGAGTTACTTCTCTGATTTGAGCCCTATGAAAATAGATACATCACGCTTATAGATGAAGTTTTTTATGATTTATGACCATGAAATAATGAAGGGCATGTTAATGTTATACCAAACCTTACTGCATCGTTAGAAAATGTACAAATTTGACCCTACTGTAGATTTTTGGCCAAGATCTCCATTTTTGGATAGCGAGAAGTAACTCATTTTGTCAGCGCGCCTCACATATACTTGACTGGGGCTGTAAGTGTAAGGGATACAGTATTTTATGTTGAGGTGGGTACTTCATCTTCCTTCACTCCCATACTTTCTCCTGTCCTAGAGGTATGTGGTTATAATTTAAATGTGGTCTTATAAAAGATATTTCATGTGACTTGTGCGGTTGAATTGGTGAGAGATAGGTGAGGTTTTAGAAATGGCTGTGTGTGATGTGATGATGTTGATGATTAACAAGCACTGTTTGTAAGATGTATGGGCTTCATAATGATGTATGACTTCTTTATTTTTGTTTAAAGATTCAATGTTGACTCTGATGAAGAATTTTGGTTTATTTTTGACTACCAAAGTCTAACAATCATGTTTAAGGCCACACTCTTCCAGTTAGCACCGAAATCTACAATTAAGTTATTTTTTCTTGCTTTTTTCTCATTTTCTCAAAGTATTCCATTTAGGGATTAAAAATACTCAAGTTTGAAATTTGTATAAGTTACATAATCGCAAAAATGTCAAATTAGAGTGAAACGAGGATATCTGAAGGGCCATTTTCAAAAGCTAAAAACTCAATAACCGTCCATGCTATCTATGAACTAATTACATATTTGTAATCTGCACGCAAATCTTAAGAAAACGACACTAGCTTTTCTTGAAATTGTAAATATTACTAATGTTAGTACTTTTAGAAGACTTGCATATTAGCAAATGACAAAAATTTTTAAAATAGCAAAGTAAAAAACTCATGAAAAACTTATTTTTTCAAAAATTTTAAAAAAAGCTAGCTTCGTTTTATTTGAAATTGCATGGTGCACTTACCCTCTAAATTTCATGTCTTTATTATGAATTGTTTTTGAGTTTTTAACATTTAAAGCCAAGAAATGAACATTTTGTGGAAAGGAGCAAAAAGATCTCAAAATTGCTTTGAAGCATTGTATTGGCTCACAATTTTTCAGACTTTATGAAGCTGTCTGTTTGAAATAGAGCTCTGGAAGTGCTTCCATTCGATTTAGCACATAATTTTCTAGGGAAAGTTCTCAAAACCCCAAAAAACATTGTTTGGACCCAAACTGGCCCCAAAAACCCGTGTGTGGCCTTAACTAATATATTATATTATATATTTGTTAAGGTGGTATTAGACTTTGAGAAGTTATATATATATATATATATATATATATAAAGGAGTCAGATGGTTCTATTTTTGGTTCCTTGCCTTTTAGTTGCATGAGATATGGCACTATTGACAGGCTTATTATGTGTTCTTTTTTTTTTGGTCAGTTATACTTTTGAAATTTTTCTGGGATTTTTGTGTTCGATTAATTTGTACAGTTGAATATCACTTCCATTTCATTTAATTTTTGGACTGGTTGTGATAGTTCTAGACTGTTCATGACAAATTATTTCATGACAAGTTTGAAACCATATTTTCTTTTATAATTTCTTTACCTGTGCCATACTTTATTATTTTCATATCAATGAAATCATGAATGCATATATCATTCTACATATGTGAGGCAGCGTGGTGAAATCAGGCACTCGTGAAAATAATGAAATTGAAGAAATTGGCATTTTTCTGCCAGTTTGGCAATTTTTATCGAATTTTCGTTTTTTGGCGTAACAACATTGTTGTCCAATTAAGAACATATTTCTGGGTGAATTTGACAGAAAAATGTTGATTAAAGGCACAAAAAATGTAAGTTTTCAGTTTCCCTGGACTGTCAAACTATGGAAATAACCAAACTTTGGCAGCTTTTTTCTCACTGATTCTACCTTTGAAACTAGGCGACCCCACCTTCTTCCATCTCAAATATCTTGGCTTCTATTCAAAGATTAATGGATATTTTTTCCATCGAAATAAATGTAAATGAATAACCTTTAACTTTAAGATGATTCCAGTAACTCCACATGCCCAAAAATTGACGAGCGCCTGATTCCACTGCGTCATGACAATATAAATTATACATGCATTTAGATTATAACCATAACAAATATATATATATATATATATAAATAATTATATATATTTATTATTTATTTTATAGATGTTTGGAAAATCTTTATTTACATCCCCTTCATATCTTGAGATTATGAAAGTTGCTTGTGATGGCTAAATGAATTTATAAAGCATGCCAAACACTTACAGAAATGTCCACATGTTTCGTCAAAATGGTCTAATGTTTGGTCACCCACTGTTGAGGAATAAAGTGAATGTCTTAGACAGGGGGATGTCTTATACAATGTCATTATAATGTTTAAAAAAAAAAATGCCATAGAGGAAATGGGAAGTGGTCATTTGTACAAGTGATTGTCCTTGTACTAAGTTATACAGGTGACTGTTAGAGCAGGTTTGACTGTATAACGTTACTCATTTTATTATAAATTATTGTTTACATATGAGGGGCTGAGATGCAAAACCCGCCTCATCCATTGTAGCAATTTTGAGAAAATCAGCTTTTTTAAATGCTGCTATACACACAAACAAGGGTAAAAAGAAGATTCTTGGGTGGCTTTTATGAAGTATGTGTTGGGTTTGGGCGGGAAACACTTTTTACATCTGACAGCAGGTAACAATTTGCATTTATAAGCAAAAAATCTGGATTTTTTCCAAAATATCGCTTAACGGGTTTTGCATCTCAGCCTCTCTTATATTTATATAGGCTTCAATGTTAATGACTCATTTAATGAAACCAGTAATCTACAAAATCATTTTTTAGATGGTTATATAATATATGCTGTGAAAAAAGAAGGATATTGAAAGTCGCTTTAGATGATTTGGACATTAATGGTTACCCAAGGGATGAAATTGCGGGTGGTTTAGGGGTGTCACTGGTAGGTCCTACTTCTTTACTTTCCCTCTGATGTCTCTGTCCGTCTGTCTTACTTTTTCTCCCACCATGAAATGACCAGTATTGTGTTGATGTGTTTCTCTTTACTCAAGCAAACATAAACAAACAGTGTTGAAATTGAAGACGGCATTTTGGTCTCTGAGCTTGCTATTTGCTGATTATGATGCAAGTGCAAGGAAGAAACTGAAAAAATGTCTTTCTAGACTTTGAAGCTTAAAGATTAATAATATCTTAAGGTAAAATAATGTGAAAATTTTCAGTTTGGATTCATAAAATAAAGGCATTTAATGAGTCTCATATAATAATGATGATGATAATAATAATAAAAATAATAATAACAATTATTATAATAATAATATAAAATAATAATAATAATACTAAAAATAAAAATAATAATAACAACACAAAATACATGTGCATTAATGTAAAAACATGCGCTCTTTAGATTAATGCATAAGCAGACATTCGTACTATCACAGCACAACTGATGATGATATGCATATATCACATTATGAACGAAAGAGTAATATGAATAAAAAAGACGAACTATCAAGATGGCATTTCATTTAGTACATGTATGTGTACGTGTGTATTTTTTAGAATATACATAGATGTTAGAGAAAAATAGTATACAAGTTTTTAAACTGTGTGTAATTGCGAGTTGGGTTTTAACTAGGAGAAGACAAATGGTGAGGAGGCAGATGGCCGGTCAAGTAACTTCTTTGTCTTTAAGTAAGTCTTGTGTTAAGGATGGATAGTGCTTTGTCCCCAAATATTCCACTGGTGCAACGTTACTCTCTTTTATTCTAGTAATGTTTTTTATCAGGTTGTTTTTATTTCAACAGTCATAATACTCTTCAGTGTTCATGTTGGTGTAGCCCTATGGGTTGAAATGTTGTGGCTCTTCACTTTTGCCAGCAGAAGATATCTGGACTCCTGTGCGAGGAACTTTAGTTTTTTGGGTGTGTCCGTGTGTCTACAGGGATCCTGTATCCCACTCAACTCACACATGGGGTGTGACATGCAGAATGGAAACAGCCTACCTTCTAAAGGACGTAAATTGTGTCGATTAGGGCGTAATGCTTTTGAGGAGTCCATTGGAAAAATGGGCATAGTCACAAACTGGAAATTGTGAGGGTGTCAATCTTAAAAGCTTGTAGACTCCTAACTTCATTTATTTGCTTGATTGGTGGTTTATTGTAGTGTTTGTTGAATGGGAAATCTAGCAACAATAATCGACCAACAGTTGAACAGAAATACATGCACTGTTATAAATCAAGAATTGTTCGAAATTGATACCCTCATGATTTTCAGCTTGTGACTATTCCCGTTTTTCCAGTGGACTCCTCTTTTACATTCAATATATGCTCAAAATTCTAGTTTGAGTAATGGTATTGTGAATTGAATTGATGAGAGTCTGTATTGAAAAACCATTCCGTTTAACTGTTGTTCTCAGTATAGTAGTTTTTAACTTTTATTTAATGTGTTGCAGTTTTGGTTGGTAGAAATTGTTGCCGAAGTTTTTTTATGCTTCTTCCCACCTCGCCTTTTATCTGTGTGATAATAGACATGTTGCAGAAGTGCATCTTTCTCCAAATGTGTTTTATAAAACTCTGCTTCCTGCTCAGTATGTCTAGTATCGTAATGTAAATATGTGTGAGGTGAGTAGCAGACGGGAAGCTGTGTGAATGAAGACTCTCATGTCTGAACATTTTTATGTTGTAATTGTACTTAAGCTTAAACTTTTCATTGTTGGAGGCGGTTAAAGTTTTGGATAAGTCTGTTTTTATGAGTGTTTACTATGTGCTATTACTGTTATGGTCTCCTTTTCTTTAATTGCCATCTCATCTCTAACTGTGATTTCCTCTTGGCATTCTTTATTATTTGTCTCCCTTGAAAAGCATTATCTTTCTTTGTGTAATGTACATGTATGTATTATAATCTGTGTCTCGCTATTTTGTCTTCTTCTTTGTTTGTTTATTTACCATTACCCTCCACTAAATGGGGACCAAATGTTGATTTTTAATGTGCTTCCTTTGACTTGATTCTCAATTATATTTTGGTTTGCGGATGGTTGGAGGGCGTCACTGTTCCTTCCTACTTCTTTTATTTCCCTCCTTTGTTTCTGTCTGTATGTCTTACTGTTTCCCTGCACTAAATAACTGTTACAATGGCGATGTATTTCTCTTTACTCAAATAGACAAACAAACATACAAACCAACAAACAAATAAACAAACATGTCATGGTTGAAAAAGTTGAAAGTGTTGGAAAGCCAGAACTTTGAAAATGTATAAATTGTGCTCAAAATTGTTGTGTTCATTAAAATAGGGGGAATGTTTTTTTGGTTGTTTTTTAAAATTTGAATACTTTATTTTGCTCAAAATTTTACCCATGTCTCAACATTTACGAAGAGTTAAGTTTAAGAGTTCCATTTCATGTGTCAAACCATGTTCATGGCATGCTGCCAAAAGTACACCTTCAGTGTTCTGTGAAAGCTTTGCAATGATTTTTTTAAATGGGATGAGAGCAAAAAGATTGCAGTGCAAGAAAGACGAAGATAAGGGGAAGAGAATAATAGTGATAATAATATTAGTAATGATATTACCGATGATAACGATTATAGTTAAAACATGCGCAGTCTAGCATGAACATAGTGGGCAGATTTTCAGGTCCTGAATTTTTTCTGATACTTATGCATATGAATTCTTTGTTTCTTTAAAACATATACATAGCGAAATTGGTGCTAACGAAAACATTTCTGTGTCCAGCTGGTTTCGCTATGTGCGTGCTAGACTGCTTTTATGTATGTAAGTTTATTCAGTATTTAAGGCTATTGGTCCACATCGCATCATATAAAACACTCATTTGTTAAATTAAGTTTCCATAATGAAAAAGTACAGGTTGTGCGTATACAGTAGAACATGGCTTTAGCAGGACTTTAAGTTCCAGAAGAAAAATCCCATTGTAGGCAAGTTCCCGCTTTAGAAATGCAAAGGGGAATTACCAAAAAATCACACACTACACGCTTTCCTCTTCTTTTAGTGTCTTTTTGGCCTAGCCTAGACCTAGGGCTATGGCTCATCACTTTTGAGGTGGCTTACGTAATGTGTCTCTCCGCACCATCTCTCTCTGCCACCTGCATCACCTCACTCATCACTGGACAGGCCAATCACAGTGCCGCACCGCTGACTGCCTGTTTGGAGCCCACCTAGAGCCCCCACCCCCCACCTCCCAACCCCCAGCTAGAGCTCGCTTTGATCTCTACTGCTGTATCCAAGTTCGGGTCTTTCCTTGCCCAGTTAAACCCAAGCCAAGCACAGTTAATTGAGTTTACATAGACTTAAAATAGGGGATTCCAGTAAGTTCCTGCTTCAGGGATTGTCCCGCTGCAGCGTGTGCCGCTATAGTCTTGTTCTACTGTATATCTTATTATGGGTCAAACATGGCATGCATATTTCTGTCACTGGGCCGAGTCAGGCTGGGAGGAATTCACAATTTCCTTTGGCTAGACTGTGTAATTATTATTATAATGAAAATGACGATGGCAGGTGGCATTTATCATAGTCTTGCACCCAGCCATTGATTTATACAGTGCATTTGGGTATGATTTCAAAATAATTATATTTATGAAAATTTGATGCATTTGTGCTTGTGAATAGAGAATGTTTAGTGAGTAGAGAGAATGCTTTCAGATAGGATTGGATTGTTACCGGAAATGAAGCAAAAAGTTGTCGCTGACTGTCACTCTTTTAACAGACAGATTTATAAAGAGAAGGGAAAAACATTTAGATTATTTTGTTATGAGCAGAACTTGCAAAAATTATATTCCAAGTCCTTCTGAATAGTTCTGTCAAAGTACCTTTACGTTTCTTTGTTTAGGATTAAAAAGGAGCTATAGAGAAATAATAAAAAGTGGTTTAAGATAGGAAATATATATTGTGTACAATAACAAAGAATGGAATTAATTATCCGGTACTGATAGAAAGTCTGAGTTTCTGATTGAGAGAGAGAGAGGGAGAATGTCAGTTAGGGACTATGAATAGGAGATGTAATATGGAATTGCAAAAACTGTAGAAAATGACAGAAAGGAAGACTGTAGGATTTAATGGGAAGATAGCAGTATTTTGTAGCAGAGTTTGGAAAAGTGGCTGAAAATATGTGTGGTTAGTGATGATGTTGGGTTGTTTGGTCATTTGATTTGGTGCAGCAACATAGGCCTACTAATATTATAATAATACGAATACTAATGCTAACACTAACATGAACACTTAACTAACAATACATCACCTGACCTGACTATATCATTATCAGCTGACTTATGTAGAGCTTGAAAGCTTTTTTTGTTTTGATATATATATATTAACCGTGGAAATTAATGTTTACAGTGAATGCACCATGCTTCCCCAGAAGCTGTGATTGTTTCAGAATGCTATCAATTCTGCTTGGGCAATGTCAACAGATTGTAATGTGTAGAGAGCTTGCAGCTGAGAGATGTTTTGCGCTATACAAATGCGTTCATTATTATTATTGTTATTGTTATTATTATTATTACATTAAAAAAAATTATTATTATAATTATTATTTCTATATAATAATAATGATAATTTATTATTATT